TTTTTGTTACAATGATTACAACTCCTTTCTTTTATTTAAATAAAAACTAGCCAAACTGGCTACACTATATTGCCAAAAGTATTTGCTCACACATCCAAATGATCAGAACCAGGCGTTACAATCACTTCCATGGCCACAGGTGTAAAACATTAAGCACTTAAGCATGCAGACTGTTTTTACAAACATTTATGAAATAATGTGTCGCTCTCAGGAGCTCAGTGAATTCCAACATGGAACTGTGGTAGGATCCCACCTGTGCAACAAATCCAGTCGTGAAATTTCCTCACTCCTAAATGTGGCAGTGTGCCTAGTAGACTCTAAATGCGCCACACAATGCGCCTGTTTTCATTGGCTGCGGAGTTGGCCGTCAGTATATGAAGCTTCCCAGCCCATTGCTTTGCCCACAGGTACATTACTCAGTGGTTCATTCATTTCTCACTAGTGACATCTGATGTTGAAACTGTGGCAGACATACTTAAAAAAAAATAGCAAATGCAATATTGTCACAAAGTTTTTGTCAAACTCATGTTTAGTAACAAGAGAGTCAATTAAATCCTATTTAACTAATCTTTTTTAGTTATTAAAATTATTTGTAGCCAATTCTGGTATATGTTGACTGTCAGTGGCTGTTTTCTTTTGTCATCGACTGATTTGACAATAGACATTTTTTTTAGTGTTTTCGGAGTGCAGTGCTTGCTGGGGCAGACAATATTCTTTGAGTTTGGATTTGCCTCCCGAAAAACTAAAATTCTTCAAAAAGTCTTTTTTTCTTGGATTTCTATTGGCTCTCTGATCCTTTATATTTTTCCTCATCAGTCCAGAATTTTACTCTTCCAACAGCTTTAAGTCTGTTTCTGCTGTGCAAGACTGATATATCTTTGCAGAATAAAAAAATAGTGGAAATTTCAAGAAGGTCAGGCTTTTGGAGATGAAGGGGTTAATTATTTTTATTTAAGAATCTTGATCGTCTCAAAGTATTCCCAGATGTCAGATTTTTTTTCTTCTCGCTGGCTCCATTTCGATCAAGTTTATTTGTGCAGCACATTTCAGCAACAATGCAGTTTCAGAGTGCTTTACATAATAAAAACACACAAATATAAGGTCATAAAATATACAATTTTCTCAATCAACAATTGAGAAAACCGGTAACAAACATTACATTTTGATGAGTGCCATCATCAAAATCACTGATACACATGAACTATGTTGGTCAAGGTTCCTTTTATTTCGGCCACTTCTGAAAACAAATACTCCTCTGATGCGAGATCAAATGCAACAGCGGCACGGCTCATCATGCTTTTATTTTGAAATCCGACACGCAAACTGAAGCAGTCACGTGACCCAGGCAACGCGAGGCACAGTTTGTTGTCAGTCACGTGGTTTTCAGCAAGCCGAAGCGGGGCTTCATCTGACACGCCCCCTTTTTACTCGGTACATTCCTCGAAGCCCGGCTTCAGATCACTGCTACTGATTCATGTGTTCCTGTGTTCTCTGAATTCAGATGCAATTTAGGATTTTTAGCTGGCTGGGTGAGTGCGCCTATGCTGCATGTTGAAGGCTTACGTTGTTCCGCTTCTGTTTATTCCTGTTCTAAAAACAAGCTTCTGAAGAAATCAGTCAACTACTTGTTAGGCAATTCCTTCCTTTGAATCAGCAAAGACAACAAGAGTATTACAAGCATGTCCAGTATGCATTAAGATTGGCATTTTTTTATGGCATGAGTGTTCGTTTGTCCATTGTACTAGACAATTTGATCAGTCGATCATATTTTGATTTAAAATCAGTGAGTGTTTGTTTTATTTGTTTTAAGTATTCTAGATAGTAGTTCCAGGGGTCCAGAGCACAAAACTTATCAGGTAAGTATGAACTTCCTGTGAGTTATAGTTGTCACTCTTTCTCAAAATAATTAAATAATTGACACCTTTGAACCAAATAGATGGATAATTGACAGATTAATCCTAAGGTTAAGTAACATTTATTAAAGCTGTTTTTGCTGTAGTTATTTTGCGAGGATTTGTATTCTGTCTCGCTGAACCAGGTTCTCATTCTGGGGGCTTGGCAGGAAACCTTTCACATGGATTTAATTCATGAGGTTTCACTTTGATTGCTCTACAGTCAAAGTCTGTTTGTGTGGAATATGTTCAAATCAAAGGAAGGTAATCATATGCTTGGGTGTAATTGTGTTGTGAGCTTTCAGAAACATCAACAGCCTGGCTGTTTGATTGTGATATCAGTTTATCTACATATCAACTAAGTAGTTAACTTTATTAAGTTAAGGTTATTACCATCGTCACAGCGAAAAGGGGGCAGCAGTTACAATTGCTGCGGCATTTGGTTTATTAGAGAAGCCCAACTTCAAACGACACGGCTATTATTATAGCTGGTGTGTAAAAATAATCAGGCTAAATCTTGATCACAGACTTATTTCCTGTGTGTCTGTGGTAGAACTGTGTCTGCTCTAAGATGATACCATCCTATAAATATTTTCAGCAAGTTGCAACAAAATTTATCACCAGTTAGATTAGCTCAAGTCTTTGTCCTACGTCTGCTCTAGTTTTGCCAAGACCTTTTGATATGCAGTGAACTTTTAAACTTCATGGGTTAAACTTAATACTTTAATAATTTTTTACATCAGTTAGACATTGTTTCTAAACCTTATTCGTCTTTTATATTTTCCTCTTGTTGAGACTAATTGGTTAACCTGGCATGCAATATTTTTTTTTTGGTGTTCTTTTCCACTTTGGTAGAAATCCATAAAGAATATACTCATGAATAATTTGAGGAAAGCATTATACTGAAGTTTAATTAACTTTTGATTAAGTATTAGCCACAGAAAAAAAATAAACAGAAAAAAAGTGATTTAAACAGTTTGCTTCTAGAAAACCATAACGTCTGATCATCTTGACTTTTTTTTAGATTATTTTATACGAGTATATAAGTATTCATTCTTTGTGGTTTTTTCTGATAGCTCAGTTGTTCTAATATTTATGTCATTATTTTTGTGTGGTGATGCCATGAGCTTCCGTCTTTGTCTAAGCAGCTCGTATGTTCACTTCCTTTTTAGATCTCTCCATTCTCTCTGTATGTAGTGGCTTGTCAGTGATAGGAGTTCAGTCCTCCTAAGCAGATAAATGTTGATCTTGTCAAAGATTACTGAGAGCTGCTCATCAACAGACTGGAATAATAAAGAAAGATGGCAGCGGCTGTTGGACTGTGGCTGCTGTTACTCGGAGTCTCTCAGGGTGAGTTAAACATATTTTTTTTACATTACTTTATCAGGGTTTTATCAGGGTGTTAATAACAGTGTTGGCAATACTTTAAAAAAATGGCTTTAAAGTAAAAACTACATTTAAAATACTTTTTATCATTATTCTTAGTGTTTTTAAGCAGCTTAGTCTTACGTGTTCAGTCCTCAAAACCGCAAAAAACTTCCACCTTCTATCTTCTGCTTTTTTAATCTTCCACATCTTTTGCTTCCTCATTTGTCTTTCAAGTTAACTCTTCGATAGTGCTTCATTATTTCTGAAACATGTTGACATGTTAATGGAGTTTTCTCAACCGCAAACATGACTTTTAGAAAATCTTAACAAAATAAATAAGATTGATTATAGAAATTCTGAGATACATAAATATTATGTTAAAGTCTACCCTGTGTTTCCCAGTCCCGGTCCTCTGGGCGCACTGCCCTGCATGTCTAAGATGCTTCCCCGCTTTCATGACACTGAAAGTCATGCAAGCAGGTTTCTCTTAATGTTTCTCTTAACCAATATTAAAATACTTATAAAGGACTTGGAGACTATGATATGTGTAATATATTGTCTGTCTATAAATGTTGACTGCTATGAAAATGTAGATTATGAAAATGTATGGTTATCTCATAGAAATATGAAGAGTACGAGTGAAGAGTCAGATTATTGGAAAATGGAAAAAATCTAGAAAATGTCTTGTAATTTCTTTAACATGTACAAATAAGCTGATGCAAACTTTCAAATAGGCAACATGTGTTTTCACTGTTATTAAAGGAGCTAAACAATCAAATAACGCATTTGACCGTGGTTGTCAGTGAGACATAAAACTTAATATTACGGGTGAATATTGTCTCAGAAAACTCATTCTTCTGTTTTCATTTCAGTTTTTCTGTGTTTGGAAGATGACAATTTTAATTGTAAAAAATGTTTTTTATTTTTTTTCTATTTCAGGTCTCTCAGCTCACTGCGATGCCAGAAATAATGGAACTCAATGTAGCGGGACTTTGGGAGAAACTGTGTTTCTACGGCTGATTCACAACGCGTCAGGAATTAAAATTGACTTGTTAAAGGGGAATGTAATATTACTACAATGGAGGAAAAATATAACAGTTGCAAATGAAATAAAAGACAGATTTGATTTTATACCCGATAATGGAACATTCAGGTTAAACGACCTGAAACACAACGACAGTGGTGAATATAAACTTACAGTGTTTGATTCAAATGGGAAGAGTACAGAAAACCGGACTCTTCATTTGTCTGTTCAAGGTAAATACTTTACAAGAAAATAAAATTAGATTGGTTTAATTGACATGATATGGATAATATATCTAACTGATTAAAGCTCTGTAAAATTATGCTTTTCATGATCTCTGCTAGAACTTATAAGTTTTAATTTCTTTATTTCTGTCAGACAGGTTTATTTGCATGCCAGCATTTATACACAAAGTGGTACAAAGCAGTCGATAGAAAGTTTTAAATGTACAGAAAGAAAAATTACATTAAAAAGAAGAAATTAGTATTGTATAAAGAATGAAACAGTGAACTGTATATTTCAACCACATTAATAACTAAGACTAAACTAAGAGCTGCCTGCTCATGTTTGGCTCTTGTCCTGTGAACTCTTTGATTTCATACCTTCTACCTAATGTGATGTCACATTATCTTTCACAAGTCCAACAAATCATTACCTATACTGTTTATTCACACTTTTATAAGTGACATATTTTATTAGCAGCACTCATAGCTTAAATTGAGGAAGTGGGTGTTTATTTTTAATTGATCAGACTTCAGAACTGAATTCCTGCTCAGAGCAACAAAAAGTTCAGAATGCTGAAAGTTTCACAGATGTGTTGTTCTCTCTTTCTGTATTAACCTGGTTCCTTTTGCCTTTATTTCTGAAACAGGCACTTCCTCATTGACAACTGGACTTATCACTTCAAGTATTTGCGTTGTTTTACTTTTCTTCATCATTTTAATAGTCATCTATGTATGGAGGAAAAAGCAAAAACGCAAAGGTACAAATGAAATGTCAAAAGTGATACTTGCTGTTTTTGTGGAAAACTGTCATTGTACTGTAGGTATGTTTTTTAAGCTGTAAGTGAGCCTTTACTGTTCATTTTCAGAAACTGAAGACCTTACCGATTTAACCTACGCTGTTGTCACAACAGTGCAGAAGCCAGCGAGGAGGCCAGATAAGCAAAAAGAGGAAGAGGAGGTGGAGTACGGCCAGATCAAGTCTGCAGGCTGATTTCTGCTCTTTAAAACCGACATCATGAACTGAATGTCAGTTCAAATAATGTAAAATGTTCTGAGGACAGACGGATGAAGAAGTTGGAATCTCCTTTTATTGTTATTCTACATTAGAAAAGCTTACAAACCATTAAAGCTCAAAGTGCTGGATGTCTGCTGTTTGCCACAAATGTATTTGATCATGGTGAAGTTTAATTTGTTGATGCTCTGCACTGATGTCACCTAAAATACTTGAAACAAGACGATTTCAAAGTAGTTTTGCTAATTGGGGAAACTGTGTAGGTTAGGTTTGGTTAGGTTTCTTTAGCACAAAATAATCAAAAATATTTTTGGACAGTCACAATGAGGATGCTATAGAGTACTGTAAACCAATATATACTGTGTTACTGAGATGTTGTATTGTAAACAGTTTATTGTCTTTTTATTGTTCAATGTACATTCGCTTTTTGAACTAAAAAAAAGAAATGTTCCTACTCAGTTGCACATCGCTTTGATCATAAGTTTAACGTGTTTCTATTTTTGATAACTTCACAGTATTTTTTTTATTTTAAAATCTTGAACAATGTGTTCTTGCCGTCTTGGCTTTTAAAATATTTTTTAACACTTTTTGATATTTTCTGTGAACCTACATATGATACTGGTATTGGACCTGAATTTCTCCACTGTGAGAAAATAAATGCTATATTTATAACATTCTTCTGCTCTTTTTCAAATGTTCTCCCTGTACTTGTGTAAGAGTTATTTAACAACAAAGAATAAAGACTTTCCTATTGTGAAGCTGCATATCAGCCAATTCAATGTATGACCATGCAGTTTCCTCTGAAATGTATTTCAATCTGGAGAGACTCAAACGGAGAAAGAAGGCGATTAAAAGAGTTTAATGACAAAATGAACATGAAAATAAAAAGTCCTTTGGCGTTCAGGCCCCGGCCGGGGACATCGAGCTGGACTTCGATGAGCTCGATGAACATTCCTGATGCAGCATAGGAATGTAGACCCCCCGGGGCCTGTACTGGTGGCGGCGGTCGGAGGAAGATGAGGCCTGAGAGCCGGGAGCAGAAGGTGGAGATGGGGTGGAGGTGGGTTGATCGCAGCTGGTGAGCAGAGGAGGCTATGGGTGAAGGTCCTTTTGAACTGAAGCCCAAACGATGATTGGCTGGAGCGAGGCTTGGTCCGCGCCGATAGGTCCAGGTTGCAGAGAGGCGGGCGCTGATTGATGAGGCAGGTGCGACTAGAGTCTTCCAGACTGAACTTTTGTCAAGACTCCATTAGTCCTGGAGGTAAACCCAGACATCTCTCTCTCCCTGTTAAAGCACTTCATGTGTTCCCAGGTTAGAAAGATTAAATACATGAATAATCCTTCCAGTAGGTTCTGGTTCTACTGTATTGTCTCCCACTTGGAGAAAATACCAATTATACCCTCCAAACAGGCACCCAGTCGACATCCTTATTAAATCACTGATTCATCTCAACTAGCAGCTTTCAGAGCAGAGAAGCCAAAGTACTTTGAGCTCCTTTCCGTGAGTCAGAGACTGAGATAATGGATGGTTGGATATAAAGTAGTAGTATCACTGGAAAGTGATTTTCCAATCTGTTCATCAAGCTGGTTGCTGTATTGCAACATCATCGTACTGCCCTACTCAGGTTCTCTTTAGGAGTGCACCGATTGCAGTTCCCTGGCTGAACACCGGTTACCAATCTTTTAAAAAGCTCGACCTGCCGATTTTGGCTAATACCAATATTTTTCGTCTGAAATGTTGCTCGAAATAGCAAGAAAGTTGCTGAACTGGCAACAGTGAGGTCATTATTGTTAACTGTCGATGTGCAAACATGACCTGGTGGGCTGATTTATCGGTCAAACCATTTTCAAAGAGCAACAAAAGAGGACATTGGTTGATTTTTAGACCTTTGCAGAGGTAGATAAGATCGGTTAAGATCGGTTTCACATGTAAATATCGGCCGATTACCGACCTCCCAAAAATAAGAAAACCGGCACAGATAAATCGAATGTCAGATAAAGCTCTTATCTTTTTTCTAAAAAAAGATTCTTGCAATTTCTATAGGTTTATAAAATCTACCTGATACCTACATGAAATATCATACAAGCTCAATACGCTTCAGCTTTGCTTATCCTACTGATTATAGAATCTTTTGTTCACGTAATACACAAATGCAGAGTTCAGTAGTGATGGCCAAAGTAAACCTCATGAAGCAATGAGGCTGTTCAGTCCATTGTTTTGCCCAAAAGTTCATTACTCATTGCTTCATATTGCTCACTATCTGCTGCTGCACTAAAACTGACAGCCTTTCCACATAAACAAATATTAGAACGTGCGAGTGTGAGACTGATGTGTCTTTGCTGATGAAACATTTTATCTATTTTTTTGGACATTTCTGTGACATTTCTGGAGGGTGGGAGGTAATTGAAGAATTAAATTGTGAACGGTGATCTCAAAATATTTCCAGATGAAAGTTTTTGTCCTTTTTTATTGGCTCCATTTCAGCCACTATTGATGAAAAATGCTCTTCTGCTTTCTCATGCTTAACTAAGCTACTGACAACAGCCCACATAGCAAGATGGTTTGTAGCGTTTTTATCTTGAAAACTGACACACAAAATATAGCAGTGACGTGTCCAGTGTAACGCGAGGCATTGTTCGTCATCGGTTGTGTGTTTCAGCAATACACACGCATCAAAGCGGGACTTCATCTGATACATTTTAACTCTGTACAGAGCTAGTAGGAGAATGGCTTACAGAGAACTGTAATCTTCTTACTTTTTCTTATTATTGGTTTTTGTAGGTTTGCTGAACTTCCTTCCTTATTTCACCCCTAACTTAAAGGTATTTGCACAGTTTTTCTTCTGAAGCTAATCATTAACGGGACATACATCAGCTGTTGCATGCATTTATGTTTTTAACAGTCACTGATCAACAAAGACTCGGGTGAATAGAGACATGAAAGCTGTGATTAAGCTGCAGTTGATCCTGATAGGAGTCTGTAGTGGTGAGTGGCTCACAATTGTTGCACATATTATGTAATTGATTGATGTGTTTTTTGTCTTATTTTCTAATTCAGCCCGTACTTTTAGAAAAAAAAAAAAAAAAAACTCAAAAAAAAAAAAAAAAAAAAAAAATCTCTCAGGGAGCTGTTCATATTTTAACCCCATTTGCACAGAGGCTTTTTTTTAAAAGCCTGTTGATGATAATAAAGTTGAATATTGTTACAAATAAAAAAAAGAAAGAAATATGTTTGAAATAAGTATAGAACTAGAAATAAAACAGTTACAAAAAAGCGTTTCACTGTAAAGATGATTTGTAGTTTGTTTTTTTGCAACCTGAAGAGTGAAATAAACTTCAGTGGAGTTTGAAAATAAAATATGTGTATAGGTTTATGTCTTGTTGAACAATGTATGTGCCCAGTTGATTTATTCTTTCTCTTTTGAGGGGGATTTTATTGTAATCCATGGGGGGGAGGGAGCAGAAGAAACTCTTTGGGAGCCACTGCTTTAATGTTTGTTTTTGTTTAAATTTTCTCCTATTGGTTCACTTTTGTCTACATTGGTAGTTAAAAAAAGTTTATTTCCTTGGTATGAATTATCTGCATCAGTGTCAGTCATCCGTAGCATATCTTGTATGTATATGTTGCTTTTAAACCTTTCTTCTTGGTGTGGAATTAACAACTTAAACAAGGTTTAAAGCTAAGAATTTGGTAGACAAATTTAAATTTTGTGTGGATTTTCTCTTGTCTGAATTTGTTCTAAATTCTACCTACTAGATTAAATAGTTGCATACACCTCCTACTATTACTTAGATAAATGTCTTCATCGCCATCAGCAAGGTATATATTTATATGATATTTCTTTCTCAGAAATGATCAAACTTATTTAAAGCTCTTAATTTCCGGGAAGAGGCTTCACTTTTAACCCAGTGGTTCTT